TAAAGTATGGAAGATGTTCTAGTGTGTCAAAAGGAAATCTTGTAAGCAATAATCAGGTAGATTCACAGATTAACCTGTCTGGTCATAACGCTAAACTAGCTTTCTCCAACTTTGGTACAATTCTGCTGCATGACTTCAATTTTGGAAAGTCTGAGAATCTCAGACTACCAATATGTAGGACTTTGAGATGAAAATATGTGATACCATTTACATGGGAGAAGCCTTATTGTTCTTAGTTGCGAAGTCGTGTCCGACCCATCATGACCCAATGGACAATTTCCTTCCAGGCCTTCCTGTCCTCTACCATCTTCTGGAGTCCATTTAAGCTCACGTCTACTGCTTCGGTGGCTCCATCCAGCTCTCTCATTCTCTGTCATTCTCTTCTTCTTTTACCCTCAATCTTTCCCAGCATTAGGTCCTTCTCCAGTGAGTCATTATGCCCTTCCAAATTCTCCTTAAGGATCAGCTTTCAATTGTTTAAAATTCTTAGTTATGGTTAGTCTTTCCCACAGTTTGGGAAAGCAAGCTATTAAGTTTATGCAAAGTTTCGACATTATGATCAACTGAAATTGATCAAATTCTGAAGAGATGTAAACATTTCCAATTGCTCCTTGAATACAAACTTTGGAGGGGTGGGGTCCAAGACTTGGTTCGCATAATACAAAATTCTAGTGCTGTGTACAAAAGTGTGGCATTACAACCAAATGAAGCTGTCAGGTGTGAGGAGGCGATCTCAGGCAGCTGATGCCGATAGCAGTGGTTTTCCAGCAATTCCCAAAACTCCTCAGGCATTTCACACTAAGAGAATGTAACATGACCTTTCTTAGTTTTCTCCTTGCCTCAGTTGTGGCAAAAGATACCATTCTGTCACCAGCGCTGACAGATTTCTTCCAGCAGAGGTCGGAGGTTATAAAGTCTTTTTGTTTTGTTTTCTTTTCCTACCAGCTTGGCATTGCGCCCCTCTTCTACAGACACATATTATAAATTCACTTCCCAGACTCTTCTGTTTAAAGTCAATGTGTTACAAAGATGATTTAATCTTTGGGGGTAGGGAGGGTGAGGTTGGTTTAGCCATCTGCACCAATGGACAAAGACTTCATAGCAATAGCAGTTAGACTTATATACCGCTTCATAGGGCTTTCAGCCCTCTCTAAGCGGTTTACAGAGTCAGCATATTGCCCCCAACAACAATCCGGGTCCTCATTTTACCCACCTTGGAAGGATGGAAGGCTGAGTCAACCCTGAGCCGGTGAGATTTGAACAGCCGAACTGCAGAACTGCAATCAGCTGAAGTAGCCTGCATGGTAGGGCAGAACTATGTGTACTTTTGAGGGCAGGGGGCTCGAACACTTTCCTTAGAAGAAAGCTTAGATTAAGTGGGACCCTTAGGTTAGGAAAAAAGTAGATAATAAAAGGAAAATAATTGAATTATATAAAGTCATGCATAGCATAGAGACTGCAGATAGGAAATTTTTCTCCCTCTCGAAACGTCATTAGGTCATTCAGTGAAGCTGATTTGAACAGACCAAAAGGAATAACAGGCAATCCTCAATTGAAAGCCAGAATTTCTGCTACTAAGCAAGAAGGTTGTTGGGTGAGACACATTCCGATTTTGTAACCTTTTTTTGCCATGGTTGTTAAGCAAATGTTGCCGTTAAGTGAATCACATGGTTTTCAAGCAAATCCGGCTTCCTCCATTGACTTTGCTTGTTGGAAGTCAGTCAGGAAGATTGTAACTAATGATCACATGACCCCAGGATACTGCAACCACCATAGATACCATATATGCCTGTTGTCAAGCATCTGAATTTTGATTACATGACTGTAGGGATGCTACAACAGTTGTAAATGTGAGGACCTGTTGTAAGTCACTTTTTTTAGTGCCTTTTAACTCTAAAGGAATGGCTTAAAGGTAAGTCAAGGATTACTGTACTTCTTCACCCAGCATATAACCAACTTGGGGAATTCTTTACTGCAAAGATATGGGGATGGCCAAAGACTTGTTGATGTTGTGGTGGTTATGGTGTTGTGTTAGGACTGGGGAGATCCAGGTTCAAGACTGCTCTCAGCCATGGAAATTCATTGAACAGTTTGGGGTCAGAATTGCAAGAGAATATCAGGCAGCAAAAGATGTCTCCCTCTCCTGCTCAGGAGCACTCTAGAAGGAACTGATTTGGCCCCTGTAAGAATAAAAATGCTGGATTAAAATGGACCGTGACCTGATACAGCAGGCAAATTCTTATGTTCTTTTCTAGGCCAGTTTTAAAAGGAACTGGTTAGAAGAGCAAGAGTTTGCCATTTAAAGAATGAAAAAGTCTAATGATATTCTATTAGAAATGTATCTGATATATCTTCGGTTAAAGACACTTTATTCCAATACTTAATAAAAAGTACCAAATAAAATGTAATGTTGTTTTTATTTATATTAATCGCATGGAAAATCTCCCTTGTTTCTGGAATCGTCCTATTTATAAAAGGCCCTTTGGCTGCTTTCATGGAAAGTAAACAAAGAACTCCATGCAAATTGAATTCACTCCCACAGAAACAAAATGTTTTCAGATTCAGCAAAAAAAAAAAATACGGTAGCTTGTTACAAAACAACTGCCATTCAGGTCACCAACAAAATAAAATAAAATACTTTCCCAGTGTTCTTTTTATAAAGTATTTCTGTAGGGAAGATTTTCAGCTCCTGAGCATAGACAATGTGGTAAGGAAATGGGGCATGGAGTACCTTAGGGCAGTGGCTCCCAATATTTTGGGCACCGGGGACCAGTTCGTGGAGAGCGGTTTTTCCCACAGACTGAAAGGGGTGTGCTGTCTGCAGCCCATGGATGGGGGCTTCACTTGTTTGCGCAGCCCAGTTTGTAGCATGCCGCAATCCAGTGCTGATCCACAGACCGGAGGTTGGGGACCCCTGCTTTAGGGGGGTGGCAAGTGTCTCTCAATTCAAGGTCTGAAAAGCATGGAGGGTTTTCAGCTGCTGATCGGAGCCTCCTAGGCTCTCCCCAGCCCCCTGACACACCTTGCACTCCTTACTTCGGACTCCATCTTTTTAGAAACCCAGACAATCACTAAACAATCACAATCAGGTGCGCTGGAAATTGCAGTCATTGAGCAAAGCACTCGTATGACATGTCACTTAACAACTGCTTTGCTCAACAACTGAGGTTCCAGTCCAATTGTGGTTTAGAAGCAGAACTTCTAAAAGATTATCCTGTTTTAAAACAGGACTGCAACAATTTTTCACCATACATGGCATCCCCTGCCAAATATTGATGGAATCTATTGTTCTGCCCTTTGTTTTCCAGCTTTGTAACTAGGGTGATTGGGTAAGTTGGTACCTTGACTCTTGTAATAGGCATAAATTATGCACTGCACATCTTAAAATTACCGTTAACTGGTTGTTATTGAAATATAACGCTAACTGCAGTGAAACCAACAAATGCAAAGGTGTCTGTGCCAGCCTCCAGCCATTATTCCAAACAATTCCAGGAAACTAAAGGTTTCAAAAGTTCATTTTAAAATTTCAACCGAACCAAATACAAAAAAAAAAGGTTTAGTGAGTTATTTCAAAGGTCTCTGATACATCATGTCTGAAAACAGATTCTTGATCCACCATACAGTTCATTTTATTTTCCTAAAGTGAGACAGGCTCCCCGCAACTTTCATTTACAATGTCATTTCAATACGGTACTTTACTCCAAGGTAAATATAGACATACGGCTACACATGTTCACTTAACAATGAGTTGCAGTCAATCATAGCTTACTGGTAAGGCTATTTATTTAATACTGAGGAATACAAACACATTTTTGTTTGTTTTGCCTTGTGGCTTTTCTTTTTCAGATATACCCCTTTAATGTCTAGAAATCTGAGCTGTGATGCACCAGCTCCAAGAAATTATCAAAAGAAGCAGAATATACATACATAAAGGAAGGAAGGAAGGAAGGAAGGAAGGAAAAGAAACACAAGAAAGGAGAGAAGAAAATAATATGTTGTCTTTTTATGGGAGCTGCACTAGCAGATAGTGGAAGCCATTTATTTTTAAATTTATAGATAAGTGAGTCATTCTGAAAGTACCATCAGTTCTTCTCTGACTTTTTTTAGGGCATTAAGACCGCCAACATTGTCAAAATGTGGTTCCCAGATTTAAATAACTCCGTATTGTTTTGCCCAGAGGAAGAAATTAATGTGCAACTTTGCATTCCTCTTCTATCTTTCCCTGATCATTGTGGTACCTGGAGTGGAAGCACAGAAACCCGGCAATTAAGTCAGATCACAGCTACTTGTCCCAGTTTACAGGATGAGACCCTGGCAGAACAGAGTCAGCGAGGAATTGCTCCTAAGTTCTGTCTCTTTGAACAATCTCAGAGGAATAAATCTTTCTCCCTGGGAAAGGGATCAGTCAATGGATTACTTCAAGGTTTTGTAAGTCTAATTCGCTGCTTTAAAATCTTCACTTGGAGAAATTAGTCGAATGGGCATAGCGTACAATGCACTAGAAGCACTCAAGATGTTCTCAGCCATTTGAAAATACGGAATACATGACGTAGCACTTGCTTGTTCCCCCCAAAATGCTTTCCTCCTTCTAAAGTGTATTTACCTCCATTTACCCCGTCTCAGGAAGCCCAAAGGTCTGTGGTTCAATTTTCCCCCCCACCCCTCCACTTCACAGCAATTCATCTTGCCAACACAAATGCAAAACCCGCTTTGAAAACTCTGCACATTATTAGCTGAAGCTTTTTGCTTCTTCCCCTTTCAGAGGGGGGAAAAAAAACAGCAGAAGAGAAGGAAAATTATTTGACACCTAAATGCAACTGCAGAATGAAAAGAAATAAGAAAAAAAACCCACACACACATTCATCCATACCGGTCTCTGGAACAGTTACACTTTCAAAAGCCAGAAGACATTTATCACAGAGGGGAAAAAAAATACTTTAGGAGTGAGGTTAGCTCTCAGTGAATTTGTAAGGAGTTTTTTCTTCCCTCTCTCTTGTTACCTTGGTAACAGCTACCTTGGCACCCTTGTTGATAAGCTGCACCACATTATCCACTTGCCCTTTGTACGCAGCTATGAGAAGGCGTTCTGAAAGGACGGCGACCACATCCTGCTGGCTCATGAATTAGGGAAGACTGGCTTTGGGAACAAGCTTCTCCGATCCCCAAAAAAACAAAAGATTCACATCAGTCCAACCGCCGGGCACAGAGGGACCCCAGCATGGGAGAAGATTGGTCTGTTGCTAAGCCATCTTCTGCATCTGTGGATTGGAGCAGCTGGAAAGGAGAAACAAAATACACAGTCAGGCACATCTTGTAAACAAAAGAGAGCAGTAGCAATTCCTTCCCCAACCCCCAACCCCCCAAAAAAAAATTCTGAAAAGGAGTGGGAAAGAAACTTGCGAAGATTACGAAGCTAGAACCAAAAACAGCCAAATCTATGGGGAGGAGAAATATTTTTGATCCACCCATCAGCAAGTCACACATTTAGTAAGAATGACAGTCACTGGAGAACACCAGAGTACTACATTCTAATCCCTGGGTGCATATAGAGCACAGAACCGGCATTTTTTGGTAACCAACCTGTATTTTATAGACCTTTCGGGATGTCCATTTGCAAGCCTGAACACCTCTTCACAGCCTTTCTGTTACAAGAGAGCAGCGCTGAATCTCCTTCTCTTACTGAGATGCTCACTTTCGCAAAGTACAACCTCCAGTGTGGGTGCGTATCCACCAGTCACCCATGTCCAAATTTCCTCCGGCTACAATTTTGTGAGTTTTGAGCATATCATAAATCCAACGCAGGCTGCGCTCTTGAACAACTCAGCCCACTGTGTGTCTCCTAACTGTCAGACTTCAAGGAACAGAGCTTTAAAGAGCAAAAAAACCATTGGAAGATGCTTCACATAAGAACCAGTGGTGGGATTCAGCCGGTTTGCACCTATTCGGGAGAACTGGTTGTTAACTTTCTAAGCAGTTTGGAGAACTGGTTGTTGGAAGAAATTTCCCTTTGTTTTTTTCCACTTTACAGGGCTAATCTTATAAGGCGGGAAGGAAACATTCTGGTATTGTTTCTAGCCTAATCTTTATTGCCCTACTTACAGAAACTGCCTCTTTGGTTAACCCTTATTACATTGTAACAGCTAAGGCGAAGAGCCCATCGACGTGAGTGAATGACATTGAGTTGGCCACGCCCACCCAATCACATGACCACCGAGCCCCGCTTACCCAGCCGATCATTAGAGCAGAGAACTGGTTGTTAAATTATTTGAATCCCACCACTGAAGAAAACTAAACTATGAGGGGTCCTTGGTGTTCTCGGAGCTTGCTTGTTTTCTTGCAGACATTTCAATACCTAACCGTAACTAGATAACAACATCAGTACTGGTCCTGATGATGTTACCTAGTTTGGGTAATGAAACATCTAAAAGAAAACAAGCAAACTCAGAGAAAACCAAGAACCCCTCATTTCAACCCTGAGCTACAAATATTCTCCTTTATTGATGTTCTAAACTACTTCTCCACCTATTTGTGCATGTGAAAAGCACATTCTTAACTCTGATCAAAGGTTGTCCTTTCCGATTAACAAAAATGCCAGCTTCTTTGGGGGAACATTTCATGTCCAGATTGCTCATGCACCAAATTAAAATGAGAGAACAGTCTGTACCATTTCATAGTAAATAGATCACATTTTTATATCCCTCTTCTTAAACCAAAAGAGAGAGGAAAGTGCATTTTGCTATCAAAAACTAACCAAAAAAATAAAATAAAAGGTAAGAGAGAACATTTCCCCCTGATATTACACAGCTCTTAAAACTTTCTGGGATTACTTTTCTTTCTAGTGGGAATATTAAAATAATAGTCACAAAATAGGCTTTGTCACAGGTGAATAAGTTTCTTACAAGCTTGCCATATTGTGCGTGTTTGCCACCTTGAATTATTTACAAAAATAATAAAGGCAGAATATAAGTAAAATAAATACATAAAAATAAGTGAAGTCCATAATCTTGACACAAATCAGGCATTCTTCCAGGAAATCCATCAAGAAATAAAGAGAAAATTTAAATTTGTCCATCCAGCAAAATAGTAAAACTGTCTGACTTTGCCTCTCTTAAGCTGACTAGTTTTCTTGAAGTAAAAATGCTGGGGGATTTTCATTTTACTGTTGGAAGCTTATGTCTGTTTGTGTCTGCAAATTTTCTGCTCGTGATATTTGGCGGTTTGAACTAGGAAAAGTCCCAAACTATTTATTAACACATTCAAAAACTATATCCACACATCTAGAAGCCAGCCTCGCCACTTTAAATCTTGCTGTTACCAAAGTGTGTCTTTAACAGACATACAGAACAGCTTCTTGTTGCATTGTTGCTTACACAACCTGCAAGATATCAAGGGTCATGATTGGTAACTTTCTCAAATGAATTTCCTGTCCTGATCAACTTCATCCAGTACATCAAAACCTCTGGTTTCTATTTCCCATTATATCTTTAACTGGCAAACTTAATACAAAAACAAAAACTTTGTAATTATTGGTCAACGAAAGGGCAGCAATGAAAGGAATTTTTTTTTTTTTGAATCTCTTGGCTGCCATCTATTTGTCTGAAACTGTGTGCCAAGAAAAACCAAAATGCAGCCAGCAGATAAATTTACAGGAGTTGGCAAAAAGGGACTGGTATGAGAGCCGTATCCTACCAATATTACATGAAAAAGAAAAAAGAAATGAGGTCTTAAGCAGTGGTGGGTCCCTACCGGTTCAGATCAATTCTGCCGAACCGGTAGTGGTTTGGCGGCATGGGTTGCTGGAACCGGCAGCGACCCAGGCCTGCTATGCCCCCAAACCGGTTCTCCACGCAGCACCGTAAGCGTGGTCATCTTGTTTTTGAGTTCTGCGCATGTGCAGAACAATTTTAATTGTACTGTGCATGCGGCACGCGCAGCGCGCACACTGGTAGTAATGCTTGACGGAACCCGCCCCAGTCTTAAGGCTTTCAAAGCACAGAGACACCCCCCCCTGCAGCATATGCACAACATCAAGCCTTTTCAATTATATACTATATGCCAGAAATGGAATAATTAATTTCAGGGCTTCACAATCATTTTCAAAAGGAAACAAAATGAAAAAGTGGCTGCAAAAGTGAGGATTCAAAATGCCTTCACACACCTTTATTTCTCCTTGCCTGTTCACTGAATCTCTTACAAATTTACACATACTTACTTATTCATGTTCTCGTTTAAAAGACTCACTATACGTAACCTAACTCCGGGCAGCTTTTATGATTGAAACATAAAAGGAATAATAAAAACCAGCATCCCAAAAACCCAACACCAAAAGGCACTCCCCAATAAGTAAACTTCACAATCCCTGGGTTCTGTTGCATCTTGGGGACACGCTGCCGTTAGGCACGCACACGAAAACGTCTCCCATTGGCTGAGCCATGATAGCTCAGACGGCGGGAAGAATAAACCCGCACCATTGGCTAAGTCGTTGACAGCTGCTATATATAAATAGCAGCCTGACAGAAGGTTGTTGTTGTTGCCCAGTTCCACAGTTGTTTGCTGCCTGTTAGTTGCTACACTATTAAATAGAGTTAATGTACTTCTGCCTCACCCAGGGTGGGTTACTGCCGGCATTACTGCCGGTTTGGTGCGCAAAAAATTCTGCGCATGCGCAGAACCGAAAATCAAGATAGCACTGCTGCCGATAGAACTGGTTTGGGGGCGTGGCAGGATGAGTCACTACCTACTCGGCTGAACTGGGCTGAACCGATAAGAACCCACCTCTGGCCTCATCTCTGTTCTTATCCACCCTGGTTCTACCGAATAGAACAGGTTCCACCTCACCCTGGGGGAAAAACCAGCTTTTGAACCCCTTCTAGGAGAGAAGAGTGGGGACCTGCCAGATCTCAGGAGGGGAGGATATTCCACAAGGCAGGGCCTACCCCTGAGAAGACGTGCTCCTAGTTGATATTTAGGAGAAGGGACCTGGAGTGTGTCCATCCTATCCAACCAAATGGAGTGAATCGGTACCCCCAGGAAGAGGTAGTCCCACAAAGAAGCTGGTTCCATCTCATACAGGACGTTAAAGGTGATAACCTGCACCTTGAATTGCACCTGGAAAAGAGCTGGAAACCAGCAGAGCTCATGCAGCAATACATATATGTTGAGGGCAAAAGAAGAAGGGGACGACAAAGAATAAGGTGGCTGGATGGAGTCACTGAAGCAGTAGGCGTGAGCTTAAATGGACTNTTTTTTTAAAAAAACCCATGGGTTCCTTTGTTCATTGGAAAGTCTCCCCAGAAACTTTTCTGAAGGCCGCCCAAATAATTTGGAGGGGGAGGGGGGGCCTGTTGCCATTTTTAAGTCCTCCTCCTCCTCCTCCTGAGCCCCCTGGGCCTCTCTCTGCGGCTCTGAACCTACAGCCGGAGTTCGGATGACGCCCACCTGACTTTCTCCCCTCATTCACCATCCCACTTTCTGCCTGGACCACAAGACCCAGAATTCCCAACCGGCGTACCCAAACATCCTGTTCCAACGTGGTTGGAATGAAAGAGGAGGAGGGGGGGGGAACGCTGACCTCTAAAAGAGGGAAGAACGGTGCCTTCTACAAGCCTCCATGATGGAGACCTGTTATGGTGGTGGCATCTCCCTAGGCTTCTCTTTCATGGCCTGATCTTAGACCAGGTCCTGGTTTTTGAGAGAGTTGAAGTCTCCACTTTGGCCCAGGAATTGAGACCCTTGTGGGTCTCGTTGACTGGTCCCATGGCTTCCAGGAGGTCCTCCATGGAGGCCAGCCTTCCCACCCTCCTTCTCGGATCTGCTTGTTTCCAGCTGGCCCCACCATCGGTGGTTAAAGGACATAGAAGTCATTGTTATTGGACACATCTGCAAACTGCTGGAGGCCCAGAGAGGCCACCTGGGGCTCCGAAGGATGCTTCATGCCGTTCTTCTGGAGATGGGCCACCGCCGAGTCCCCCAGCAACGGCCTCTGGCACGGAATCTCTTT